TTTTTTTTTTTTTTTCTATATTTGCTTCAACTCCTACTAGTAAACTCATTAATTCGTGAATTATGTATTACAAACATTTCTTACACTGTAGATGTACTCATTATGTTTTTATTTAAAAATGTAAATTCGTATGATCTCAGCTTAGATCAGTCATGTATCTCAAATAGACTGACACGATTCGTAATTAATACACTGCATTTATTATACTGATATTGATTAACTAAATTACAGTTGCAATAACATTAAATTATATAAATTTCGTATAAATTCAAATTGTTTCGTTAATAACTGTTTCCTTCGAATCACCGCACAATCGTGCTCAAAGATGTGACTAAATTTCAATATTTTTATAAATTTGTGCCATTGATAGAAATTAAGCATAAATAAAAAAGAAAAAAAAAGGGATAAATGAATAAAGTAACCTACCTCGGACTTTGGGTAATCCGACAATTCGGAAACAGTATTGACGCAGTCCTCATTGAACTCGGTCAGGGAGTCGGGAAATATTTGAAAAAAGCCAACCCGCGCTGCCGGATTGAACGGCGCGTGTTGCGAGTCCACCGAGAGCGTAAACCGCTTGAACTCTTGCGGCCTCTCGCTGTCACCGGGACCTCGAATATGAAATTAAATTAAAAAAAAAAAAAAAAAAAAAAAAAAAAAAAAAAAAAAAAAGAAAAAAAGTAAAAGCTATTATACTTGCCTCGTACTTGGCCTCGTCGCAGGCGCAGCAGCGGAGCTCGTCGAGGTTCTCGGTCTCCCTGGGGCTCATCTCGCAGAAGGTTCGGCTGAGGTGGCCGTCTTCGGCGTACCAGCGGTTCGCGTTCTCCAGCACCATGGCGGTGAACATGACGCAGCCCGAGCCGGCTGGTGGGGCTCGCCACATCACCTGCACCTGTTTATTTACGCGATTAGGGTTTTTTTTTCCTTTTTAATACAACTGAAAATTTTTTCTGTATTTTGTAAGCTTAAGTGGAAAAATTTTTTTACATCAACTTTTATTTTTTGCAGATATTTTTTTTTTTTTTCGAGTATTACGTTATTAGTTTTTTAAGTTCGATGATAGTTCCCTTGTAGGTTATTATTTTTATTTCGCTATTCGTTTATAAAGAAAAAAAATACGCTTTAATTAATTAAAATTTCAAGTACTGTTCAGATTATATTGTTTACACTCGAATACCCATAAAATAGAAATGAGCAATACTTCCATTAAAAAATTTTAACCTTAGGCTGTAAGGATGTATAACTGAACATTTATTTAACTACTCTTTTTCAAAAATATTTTTTACTGCGTTCGAGCATGTATAAAATTATTATTTTTTTTTTTTTTTTT